AGCTGAGGCAACTTCCGGTGCTCCGCGCCCCCGTCGTTCCCTCGGTGATGTCCTGGGTTCCAAAAGCTCCTCCGGCCCCGGGTGGTGGAGAGGAGGGGGAGGTGTTTGACGAAGAAGCAGATGAGTCGCTTCTGGTGCAGCGGGAATGGCGGACCCAGATGCAGAGACGAGTCAAAGTAAAGCTGCGTAGAGGGCGCGGGTGTCCCTTGATATGCTGAGTTGCCGGGAGAGAGGCGCGGAGTTGTGAAGAACCTGGGCCTGAGATTAGAGGCCAGAGCGGTCTGGCCTGGCCCGGCATTGCCTCACTACCCCTTGCCGCCTCTCCGTCCCGTATCCTGCTAAGATTACCCAGTGGGTTACTTTAAAGCGTGGGAAACCACAGGGCGCAGTCCTCGAGCGCCTGCTGGGTGGGTTAGACGCTCGGTCCGTCCAAAATAAACAGTCCAAATTTTGAAGAGATTGGTATTTGATGAGGATCCTTGGGAAGAGGGTGGGAGAGAAATGTATACACTGACTACACTAATGGCTGTCAGAGGACAGCTACACAGTTTACAGGATTGCCTGAATGGGTGAGGAGCCTAAAGTTAAGGGTGATATTAATCTATGTACGTATATGGCAACAGTGAATGTAAGAATGTTGTCAAAGGGCAGTAAGGGAAAGTAATATGGAATACTGGTGACTAGGTAAAGTATTAAGTTGGGTTGGGGTTTTGTTGTTAGGTATGATTTATCCATCTCTAATTTGCTTTGCTATTCACAGAGATTAAGCTTAATACCACGCACCCAATTTCCAGGTGGAGCACTCGGAATTTATTTCAGAACCAAATGATGAGATCCACTTCCACTCAATATCCTTGCCAACAATTAAACTGCCCTAAATCTGCTTTTGTTTAATGTTTCAGTAAAATAATTGCTTATCCCAACAACCATGTTGTCAATTTCAGAAATGCTTTATGTGAAGTTGGGGCATCTTTTGATTGAGCATTTTTTGAGTGCTGTGGTACCAGAGAAAATGCAGGACAAAAGTCTCTGTCCACAATGAATTTGCAGTTTATTTGGATTTAGGTATCATGCAAAATTTCTAAAGCTAGATTTCTTATTTTCCTTTTGCTAAACCAATTTCTTCTTTCCCTACTTCACTTATCCTAGACCTTTGATAGCCCTACTTACTGCCTTGCCTTCTCACCTATCCATACCAATCCAATCAGTTACAAAGGGGCCAGAGCGTAATTCTCCATGTATCCTTTCTATGAAGCAATTGCTAGCATAGCATTTTTTGTTTGTTCGCCTTATTTTTTTAAATTTATTTTTATTGTTGAAAGTATTACAGCAGACACCCCCCTTTTCCCCCCCATTGATTCCCTCCACCCAGCATCGGCCCCACTCCCAGGCCTCCCCATACCAATGTCTGTCTGTGTCCATAGGTTAGCTAACATAGAATTTTTAAGGGGATAAGCCAATAATACATTTTTATGAGAAATATAGTCTACTTTGTGTTGCTATGCCATATGTTTTAGAACCATTGTGTTAACACAGGAAAGGCTTGTTTTCATTGATTTTCTAAATTGATTCTGTTACTTCCTAGAAAAACCTACAATGGTTCACTTGATGTTACAGCTGCAAATCTTCATTACTTATTTTTAGGAAGGCTATAGAGATGGACTAGAGGCTGGCAAAGCAGTTACCCTTCAACAGGGCTTCAATCAAGGTTATAAAGAAGGTGCAGAAGTCATTATAAACTATGGACAACTCAGAGGAACTTTGAGGTAATTTTTAAAACTTAAGTGCTGAGTCATTTTAACGTCAGTACTACTGGAGGATTTTTATAAAAATGATATGTAAAAACAAAGTGTTTAAAGTAAAGTGCTTTTTCTAGTGTGAAATCCACAAGACTGCTGCAAAGTATTAGGATAATATTGCCTTCAAAAAGTCAAGATCATCAGTTCATCCACTTTAATGTGTGATCCAGGTGTCCTCTATAGCAAAGAAAAGATAGGAAGGTGTATATTTTTTTACTATCTGAACTATTGCCAATCTATATCTCAAAGTAATTTAAAAGATCTTCAGGTTTTGAATAAAGATTTTAGTCTTGCATGTGTGGCAGAATACAGGATGATAAAATTCTGTACTAGAAATACATGATGAAAATTATAGCTGGTAATAGAAAAATGATCCCATTTACTTTAGTCCTAAACATTGAATACCTGTCAAGATTCCATAGTAATAATGGCATATTTCAGAGCCAAGTGGCCAGATGGCACATGATGCTAAGGGCATGACAGGATTGTCCCTTGATACTCTATACTTTTTAAACTACCCTCTATAGAGAAAATGCTGCAAAGGATCAGTGATTTTAAAAAGGATAGAAAATAAAAGTTATCAAAACCAAAAAAAAGTTATTGTGTTTAAGGTTTTAGAAAATTCAATGGTAGGAATCAGAATATGTAGTCTACTACCATAGGAAATGATCATGTTCATCTTTACATCAAGTTAAATTCATCTTTTATAAGCTTAGGAAGCTTGCTAAGTCTTTTATATAAATCAATTCCATTTTTATAACATTACTTTTTACAACCATTTTATGTCATGATTTTCTGAATAATCTGAAATATCAAAAAACAAAAGTACTATCTTGTACTAAAAAAGTAAAGAAAAATATTTATTAGGAATAGAATGATTTTTACCTTCTTCAAGAAAAGTATTAACTCAGCAAGCAGTGTATACTTATGACAAAGTTGGGAAAGTGAAGTTGCCTAAAAGCTTATTTTTCTAACCTTCAGTTTTGATGGCAAGCAACTGCTGTATATGATTAGAGAAATGGTTTTCAACCTTGGCTGCACCTTGATATCAGCTGGGTAGCTTTAAAAAATAATACCCCTAGAGATTCTGATTTAATTGGTCTGGGATATGACCTAGACCTTGATAGTTTTAAGAGCTCCCCAGGTGATTCTACTGTGCATCCACAGTTAAGAATCACTAGTTTAGAAGCTGTTTGATGCCCTTAAAGGAAAAACTAATTTTTGCTGGTCTCTCTTTCGCTCCCTCTTTCTGAGTTATATCCCTCTTCAGCAGAAGCTGCACAGTTCATAAGGGGAAAATCTAAAATGAGGAAAAGTGGATGTAGATCTGTGAAGGAGGGGTTATGAATTAGAAACAGTTTATATGATTAAGCCCAATTGTTTAATTTCTGTTGAAAGATAATATCCTTATATATTTTTTAATCCTGTTTTACCATTATTACTTTCTTGATTTTGACTTGCATTATTATTAATTCAGTTTGCATGGTGTTATCTAGAAAAGAAACATGTGGTGCTTAACATCAGAAATTCTAAAAGCCAATGATTGTTTAATTTTTTTCCCTGTTTAACTCTTGTTTATATTTTCATTCAGTGCTTTGCTCTCCTGGTGTCACCTTCACGATAATAGTTCAGCTTTGATCAGTGAAATAAATAATCTTCTGGATGCAGTTGGCCAGTGTGAAGAGTATGTGCTCAAACATCTGAAATCAATCACTTCACAGCCCCACGTTGTAGATTTATTGGACTCCATTCAGGATATGGACCTTTGTCATGTAGTTCCAGCTGAGAAAAAGATTGATGAAGCCAAAGATGAAAGACTCTGTGAAAATAATGCTGAGTTTAACAAAAACTGTGGCAATAATCTTAGTGGGGTAGATTGTTCATCTTTAGAATGTTGTGGAACACAGGAGCATACGCATTCTGGAAACCCAAGCCTCACTTGGATTTTAGAACAGACAGCGAGTTTAGTAAAACAGCTGGGAGTATCAGTAGACATATTACAGCACCTCAAACAACTATGAAAATTATCTTAACTTTTCTAATGAAAATAATGTTCAGAACATTCCTTAGAGCATTTTGTTTCTTAACAAGTTTACCAAAATTTGTTCTGGTTTCTACATTGAACACTTCACTAGCCTTCATGGAAGTTTGAATTGTCTTCAGAATTAGCACTATTAAATGTAATAAAAGCCTTTTTTCTGTCACTTGTAATTTTTATGTAGTTTAAGATATACGCTCAGAAATTCTGTTATTGTCATTTTCAAATTTCTGATCAAAACCAAGCATTTTCAGACTCGCTAGCAAAAGTGAATCAAACATTTTGTAAGGACCTAACCCTACTTTCTGCTCTGTCACCATCGGTTAGAACCTCATCTCCAGCTAGTCAGCCCAAAATTACCAAAAATAATGGCTGACATTGTAAATAGATGAACACTCATAGATATATCTAGATTGAAAGTAAGAGGCTGTAAGTATAAGAAACTGAAGAAATGTTTATACTGATGATTTAAAACATACTACAAATACTAAAATTAGTTTTAATTTCATGTTAATTAAAAGTAAAAACATAATTCCTTGAAAAATATAGAAAATACATTTCATGCTCAGGTACTAGTTTTTCCAAGTATTTAGGAGTTAGTAGTGTTGCTAACAAATGTGCCAGATTATTACATCTAAACTAGTTTTGCTTCATATCCACATAGGAATAAAACTCTGAAATCACTGACTTGTAACAATATTTTTAATCTGGCATAGATTAAATTAGACCCAAACTTTTGTTTCAGGACCTAGGCATATGAGATCAAGAAAAGATTTTTCATCACTTTTTGCCTGAAAACATGAATGCATGTGAGGTACCAGACTTCAGAGGCGCCCAAATAATTGCCCCTATTGATAGTCTTAATTGCTTTTTCACCGATATTTATATCTACCATCTGCTCTAAAAGACAGACATACTGAGATAGTGAGATAATCTGATAAAATATGTCTTTCAAGAGATTAAGGAAATGTACTATTTGGATCTTACAATGTCCTCAGAGTTCACAGGACCTTAGGGAATTGAAACTAAAAATTTGAAATCAGAAGATCATATAGTGTATCAGGATTTACTGAAACATTCTGAAGATATCAAGTGACTTGACAGCTGGTTTTTTAAAAAGCATGTTGATCTCTACATGTAAACAATGTCTCAAGAGATTTACTAATTTTTTATATTTTTCATATTTATGAATACAGCAAAAATCTGAAATCCTCATGGAATATTTATAGGTTTCTAAAGTCTTCGTTTGCTCTGCCCTGCATATTAAATATGAAATGTCCTTTCTAATGATACATATCAAAGTCACCCTGAGTAAAAACTTTCACGAGTGTAGCAAATCTTGAGATTTTATTGGGGTTCATTCTGTAAGACTCCTTGAAGAGAACAGTCCTTACCACCATTGGAAATACGGTGTTTTTTGTGTAGATGTTTATAGAAAAAGAAGTCAAGTTTAGATGAGTTGATGAGGCTATTAGGTGGAAAGTATCTCTTAAACTTGCTTTGCCTTTTAAAAAATACAGAAATTCCTGGATTGCAAAAGAATATTAATGGTGTGCTCATACCTGTGATCCATGAATGTGAGCCTCTGTACTTTATTTTCCCCTTTTTCTCTGTTTTGTTTGTTCATTTTTCTTTCCGTGTTTTTGTTTTATTTATTGTTTATTTATTTATTTTTAGGACTCTGATTCTGTTATTTCTTAAATGGATCTAGGCAGCTTATCCAATGTCCTACAGAATGTCCTACAACAAATTCTAGCCCTGGTGAATTGGCCTTCTTGGGCAGTTGTTGTCTCCAATTAATATCTCGGACACAAGTGCTCAGACTTAAGATTACATGTGAATCACCCCAAAGTCTTTTTTGTTTGTTTGTTTCTTTATTGTTAAGACCATTATAGGTGTCCCCCTTTTAACCCCACTGATCCCCTCCACCCCACATCCATCCCACACCCTCCGCACACCAATGTCCACGTCCATGGGCCACACCCATAAACATACAAGTTCCCGGATAAACTCTCCCCACCCAAACCCCCCTCCCACCTTCCCTCTGAGATCCCTTAGTTTGTTTCAAGCTTCTATGTTACTGTATCCACTTTGTTCATCAGTTTATTTTGTTTATTAGATTCCACATATAAGCGAAATTATTTAGTACTTGTCCTCCAACTGGCTCATTTCACTGAGCATAATACTCTAGTTCCTTCCATGCTGTGCCAAAGGCCAAAAGGTCCTTCCTCTTCACAGCCGCATAGTACTCCATGGTGTAAATGTGCCACAGCTTTTTTATCCACTGATCTACTGATGGGCACTTGGGCTGTTTCCAAATCTTAGCTATTGTGAATTGCGCTGCTATGAACATACAGGTGCATAAGTTCTTTGCAATTGGTGTTTGGGTTCCTTAGGATATATTCCTAGAAGTGGGATCACTGGTCAAATCGCAGGCCAATTTTTAATCTTCTGAGCAGACTCCATACTGCTTTCCATAGTGGCTGCACCAGTCTGCATTCCCACCAGCAGTGTACTAGGGTGCCCTTTTCTCCACACCCTCGCCAGCACTTGGAGTTCATTGACTTGTTGATGGCAGCAATTCTGACAGGTGTGAAGTGATACCTCATTGTGGTTTTAATCTGCATCTCTCTGATGATGGGCGACGTTGAGCATTTTTTCCTATGTCTCTTAGCCATTTTTATGTCCACTTTGGAGAAGTGTCAATTTAGGTCCTTTGCCCAATTTTTAATTGGATTTTGTGTCTTCCTTTTATTAAAGTTGTATAAGTTCTTTATATATTTTGAATATTAACCGTTTATCAGATGTGTCATTGGCAAATATGTTCTCCCATACAGTGGGCTCCCTTTTCATTTTTTTGATGGTTTCCTTTGCTGTGCAGAAGCTTTTTATTTTGATGCAGTCCCATTTCTTTATTTTCTCCTTAGTTTCTCTTGCTCTAGGAGATGTATCAGTAAACATATTGCTAGGAGAGATGTCTGAGATTTTACTGCCTATGTTTTCCTCTAGGATTTTTATGGTTTCATGCCTTACATTTAAGTCTTTTATCCATTTTGAATTTACTTTTTTGTATGGTGTAAGTTGGTGGTCCAGTTTCATTTTTTTGCATGTATCTGTCCAAATTTTTCAACACCATTTATTGAAAAGACTGTCTTTACTCCATTGTATGATCTTGCCTCCTTTGTCAAATATTAATTGACCATAATGGCATGGGTCAATTTCTGGGTTCTCTGTTCTGTTCCACTGGTCAGTATGTCTGTTCTTGTGCCAGTACCAGCTGTTTTATTATATGAACCTCTACTAGAACTAACAAGAGTGATGGAAAGAAACCTTGCTCACCTGTGTCTGTTACCTTGCCTCATATGTTATAGGCTTGACAAGTCTTGCCATGACAGGACTCTAGATGAAAATAAATGTAAGGCAAAATTGCCCCAGAACAGGCAGCCAGATTTTCAAGGCCTCGGACACAGTCATTAGCTCTGGTTAATATGGCTCCCTTAAAAACAGAATTTCTACCTTAAATATAGATGCTGACATATCTTGCATTTTGTTGTTTTCCTAAAGGTAAGGATGAAGAAGCTCATAATACTATGCTTTTCTCACATTTCAGTTGCTAGAGCTGCTGAAACCACCCAAATTTTTGTGATAATCAGAAAGTGGGCAGCTGAATTCACCTGCCTGCATTCTTAACTCATTTATATCCTTAACCCTGCTTATTAACTGCTTTTTGATAAACCAAAGTAAAAGCTTTGAACCAAGTCCAAGTTGGGATCCTCACCCATCCTCAAACTAAAATTAAAGGTTTGTGTTCCAGTCTAAGAGACCGAAGGTATATTGATATATATAGGAATAGAGTCTAACTTAGTTTTTAAGTCTTATTCTTAATTTCAGACCAATGAATGAAGTAAATATCATACTCTATGTTAATAAACTACCAATCAGACTTCTTGCTCTCCAGAAATTCTCAAAGCTCCACCATGAAGATACTTCACCATCATAGTTGGCTTTTTTGTTTCTGCTCTTATTTACTGCCTTTCCCCAACAAACTTACTAGAAAAGGCGTCTGTTATCACTGTCTCAAATTGTTTTCTTCCCATTCACACTCCTCAGCTTCAAACTGTTTTTGGCTAAGGTCACTGATGGGTAAAGTCACACAACTGCCCCTGACTTGTTTTCAGTTCTATCATGTGTCTCCTCTACTGGACATGAGCCATCCTTACTTTTATAATCCCTCCTTCCTTCTGCAGCAGCACTTTTTCTTATTACTACTACTTATTTCTACTGGATCAATTATACACTTGAATTTTTCTGGGCCCAGGCAGCATTGTCAGTCTGATCTCTCATCCTGCCTCCTGCTCCCTGATGCACACCACACTTCTTTATGGATGATACTACAATGTCTTATGGATAATTCCCAACTTGTAATATTATTCATTCCTGACTGTTCTGCCCAGAATACTTTTCCACATCCCTCCTACCGGAAAAGTCCTATTTATTCTTCAATAACAGCTCAAATTTCAACTTTGTCAGTTAGTTGCTCTTCCCAGTGTTTCCTCTGTATCATTTTGAGAATCTCAGACTTCAATTTTTTTCAAGAAAGTACTTTATTCATTGTTACATCACCAGCAGTTAGCACCATGTCCTGTGCATAGATGCACAGGTGATACTTGATGAGAGAAAAAAAATATTTAAATACATCTACTAATCAAAATGAAAATCAGAAATTTAAGATTCCAGAATACATTGTTATGTTCCTTTGTTTTTAGAAAACAAACCATTTTGTTTGCCTTTTTTTAATGTTTCTTTTCACTTTGCGTGTTAATAAAAGTCCACGCCTACAAATTATGGTGTTGCGTTACCAAGCTAAATTGTAACAGTCACTAAAAAAAATGCACTAATGAATAAATAATATTACAATATAATTTTTAAAGATGCAAAATTATGTTTATAGTACAGTGTCAGCTAATAAAGGACAGAAATAAACTCCAAAAATAAAAACAAAAACCTGGAAGAACACAAAAGTATTAGTTTCTATCAGGATGCCTAGTGCGTAGTATCTAATAACCATAAGAAGGAGTTGGAAGAAATAAAGGCACGGAAAAGTAATGGCTAACACGTGGTGATAACAATATATAGGCACTATTCTGAAAGCTTTACATATATTAATCTGTTTAATCCTCACAACAACCCTATGCAGCACAACTATTAATTATCCCCATCCTAGAGATGAGGAAACTGGGCGAAGCACTGAGAAGGCTGAGTAACTTGTCCAATTCACAGCCACCAAATGGCCTAGTTGAGATTTAAAGCAAGGCAAACCTAGCTCCACAGTTTACTCAAGATAGAGACATACAAAATAACAGTAGCATTGTGTTTAGTAGAGAGACTATGAACTACATTTCCCCGTGCTGTTAATATCTACTTTAATGCATTTGTCAAATCTAACCCAACCAGCAACTATTTTTTATAATGTGTATAGTAATCAGCAGCTACAAAGAAAAACATTTACAAGAAGTTTGTTTGCTATACATCTAGAAAAAGAAATAACATTCCCTATTGGGAAGAGAGAGTGTTTGTCATCTCTAGGAAGTGGTATAGAAAGGTGTGTTGAGCTTCTACAGAAACTAAATTCTCCTTGGACTCCTTAGACTGTCTACATTCCTGGTGGAAAGGATAATTTGTGTC